AGTTTTTGTCCAATGTGTGCAGGAGGGTTTCCTGACACAGTATGAAGATAGGCCAACAAGAGGCGAGGCCACATTGGATTTGGTACTGGGTAATGAACCAGGCCAGGTGTTAGATTTGGAGGTAGGAGAGCCCTTTGGTGATAGTGACCACAATTCAGTTACGTTTACTTTAGCGATGGAAAGGGATCGGTATATAAAGCAGGGCAAGAGTTATAGCTGGGGGAAAGGCAACTATGAGGCGATGAGGCAAGATTTAGGATGCATAGGGTGGAGAAGGAAACTGCAGGGGCTGGGCACAATTGAAATGTGGAGCTTGTTCAAGGAACAGCTACTGCGTGTCCTTGAGAAGTATGTACCTGTCAGGCAGGGAGGAAGTGGTCGAGCGCGGGAACCGTGGTTTACTAAAGAAGTTGAATTTCTTGTCAAGAGGAAGAAGGAGGCTTATGTAGAGATGAGGCGTGAAGGCTCAGTGAGGGCGCTTGAGAATTACAAGTTAGCCAGGAAGGACCTAAAGAGAGAGCTAAGAAGAGCCAGGAGGGGACATGAGAAGTCTTTAGCAGGTAGGATCAAGGAAAATCCTAAAGCTTTCTATAGGTATGTCAGGAATAAAAGAATGACTAGAGTAAGATTGGGGCCGGTCAAGGACAGTCGTGGGAAGTTGTGCGTGGAGTTCGAAGAGATAGGAGAGGTGCTAAATGAATATTTTTCGTTAGTATTCACGCAGGAAAAAGACAATGTAGTTGAGGAGAATACTGAGATACAGGCTATTAGACTCGACGGGATTAAGGTTCATAAGGAGGAGGTGTTAGCAATTCTGGAAGGTGTGAAAATAGATAAGTCCCCTGGGCCGGATGGGATTTATCCTAGGATTCTCTGGGAAGCTAGAGAGGAGATTGCAGAGCCTTTGGCTTTGATCTTTATGTCGTCATTGTCTTCAGGAATAGTGCCAGAAGACTGGAGACTAGCAAATGTTGTCCCCTTGTTCAAGAAGGGGAGTAGAGACAACCCTGGTAATTATAGACCAGTGAGCCTTACTTCGGTTGTGGGTAAAGTGTTGGAAAGGATTATAAGAGATAGGATTTATAATCATCGAGAAAGGAATAATTTGATTAGGGATAGTCAACACGGTTTTGTGAAGGGTAGGTCGTGCCTCACAAACCTTATTGAGTTCTTCGAGAAGGTGACCAAACAGGTGGATGAGGGTAAAGCGGTTGATGTGGTGTATTTGGATTTCAGTAAAGCGTTTGATAAGGTTCCCCATGGTAGGCTATTGCAGAAAATACGGAGGCATGGGATTGAGGGTGATTTAGCGGTTTGGATCAGAAATTCGCTAGCTGTAAGAAGACAGAGGGTGGTGGTTGATGGGAAATGTTCATCCTGGAGTTCAGTTACTAGTGGTGTACCTCAAGGATCTGTTTTGGGGCCACTGCTGTTTGTCATTTTTATAAATGACCTGGATGAGGGCGTAGAAGGATGGGTTAGTAAATTTGCGGATGACACCAAAGTCGGTGGAGTTGTGGATAGTGCAGAAGGATGTTGTAGGTTACAGCGGGACATAGATAAGCTGCAGAGCTGGGCTGAGAGGTGGCAAATGGAGTTTAATGCGGAAAAGTGTGAGGTGATTCACTTTGGAAGGAGTAACAGGAATACAGAGTACTGGGCTAATGGTAAGATTCTTGGTAGTGTGGATGAGCAGAAAGATCTCGGTGTCCATGTGCATAGATCACTGAAAGTTGCCACCCAGGTTGATAGCGTTGTTAAGAAGGCGTACAGTATGTTAGGTTTTATTGGTAGAGGGATTGAGTTTCGGAGCCATGAGGTCACGTTGCAGCTGTACAAAACTCTGGTGCGGCCGCACTTGGAGTATTGCGTACAGTTCTGGTCACCGCATTATAGGAAGGATGTGGAAGCATTGGAAAGGGTGCAGAGGAGATTTACCAGGATGTTGCCTGGTATGGAGGGAAGGTCTTATGAGGAAAGGCTGAGGGTTTTGAGGCTGTTTTCGTTAGAGAGAAGAAGGTTAAGAGTTGACTTGATAGAGACATACAAGACCATCAGAGGATTAGATAGGGTGGACAGTGGGAGCCTTTTCCCTCGGATGGTGATGGCTAGCACGAGGAGACATAGCTTTAAAGTGAGGGGTGATAGATATAGGACAGATGTCAGAGGTAGGTTCTTTACTGAGAGAGTAGTAAGGGCGTGGAATGCCCTGCCTGCAAAAATAGTAGACTCGCCCACTTTAAGGGCATTTAAATGGTCATTGGATAAACATATGGATGATAATGGAATAGTTTAGGTTAGATGGGCTTCAGATTGGTTTTCACAGGTCGGCGCAACATCGAGGGCCGAAGGGCCTGTACTGCGCTGTAATGTTCTATGTTCTATTGACATTCAGTGACTGTTGCTGGGAAATGCGTGGACGTAGCTAGTGAAGAAGGACACATCAGAGCTTGACTATGTAACAGTGGTTTTTGTCCAGCCTTTAGCATGAGGTATGTGCATGTGTGGTGAGCGTCAGTTTGTGCTGTAATGATCAGCAGTGTGTACAGGAACAGAGGGGAGAAAACTTTCATATAAAGCCTATCGTTCTGCTTTTCAAGCAAGCTGACGCGTGGCACGGTGGCTCAGTGGTTAGCACTGTTGCCTCGCGGGATGAGGGACCTAGGTTTGATTCCTCCCTCAGGTTTTTGTCTGTGTGGAGTTGGCACATTGTCCCCGTGTCTGCGTGGATTTCCTCCGGGGGCTCCAGTTTCCTCCCACAGTCCAAAGATGTGCAGGCTAGGTAGGTTGGCCATGCTAAATTGCCCATAGTGTCCAGGGATGTACAGGTTGGGTGGTTAAGTCATGGGAAATGCAGGATTACAGGGAATAAGGTTAGGGGTGGTACTGGAAGGGTTTGAGTGAGATGGGCAGAATGGCCTGCTTCCATACTCTAGGGATTCCATGAAAAAGTCTTTATTATTTCACGTCGAAAAATAGCAGGAGACCATTCAGCCCCTCATCCTGTTCTGCCAGAATGAAATCATTGCCAATTCATGGCCTAACTCAATGTACCTTCCTTGGCCCATATATACCCTATTACCTTTGAGTTAACTAAAATCTATCAATTCTAGATGTAAAATCAGCAGCAGACAGCAACATTGATTGCTGGTTACAGAAAAGCAAGTCGCAGATTGGCATTTGGATGTGAAGCAAAGTTTCCTGACCTCAATCCTGCACGGTCTGGTGTTAATTTTGGACTATATTGCCAGTCTTAGAGTCCACAAATCCATCCACCTACCAACTATTCCCCTAGCTTATGGAATTTGCTGGCGAGGCATTTTTGCTCCACCTCTAGCTGTCTTTAAAAGGACCCTTGTGGATGACCTTCTTAAACCAGTGCTGTCCATGTGGACCAGTACTGTAAAGTTGGGAATTTCAGGACTTTGACTGTCTGATAATGACCTTGTTAGCCTTTCACCTCCTTGCTTCTTCCACCTACCCCATTTAATCTTGCTCTTTAACATTCTGCTTCAACCATTAACCTTGGAAGTGATCACTACAGCTCCACAACTCTCTACTCTTCTGCCCTATGTTCTAACTCTCATACATGTAGCTTTATAGCTACGCACCTTTGTGACTATAAAACCTATTTCTAATTCTCATTCTTGACCCCTCACTGACTGGAAAAATCTGCATCTATTCACCTCAAGCGATCAAAGGGTATGGGGAAAAAGTGGGATCTGGTGAATTGGATGATTAGGCATGATCACCCTGAAGAGTAAAGCAGATTTGAAGACCAAATGGCCTACTCCAGCTCATATTTTCTATGTTTCTATGTAAGCACATGCCATTCCTTCCTAATTTAAAATACTCTCTAACAGAGATGCAAGGTGGCTCTGATATTTACAGAAGATAGGAATGAGCTGCCAGAGAAAGTGGTAGAAATGAATATAGTTACAACATTTGAAAGACATTTGTACAGGTACATAGATACAAAAGGTTTAGAGGGATATGGGCCAAACACAGGCAAATGGGACTAGTTCAGTTAATTCATTCTGATCTTTCCACATTAATTCTTTTTTTTGCATGAATTTCTTTCCCAGTTCACCAGATAATAACAGACACATTAATCCTTCTGACACTGATCATACGTTCCTAAAAGTTCATTGTTGTCTAAAAGTTCAACATGGATGAGTTGGGCCGAAAGACCTGTTTCTGTACTGTGTACCTCTAAAACTCTGATTGGATCATTTTGTTCCAAAGGTTGTCATTAGGTTTGTACAATAAATTTGATTTGATTTGGTTTAGTTTATTATTGCCACATGCACCTAAGTACAGTGAAAAGCTTTGTTTTGTGTGAGATAAAGCAGATCATAACATACAAAGACACAAAGATCACAGGGTGATTGAACAGAGCAAGAAATACAAAATTACAGTGGCAAAGAAGGCATACATAAAGCAAGATCAACATTAGATTTGACTCTAACACAGGGTAACACAGGAGATGATGGGGAGTGATAGATAGCAGGTCACCTGTTACATGTGTTACACTCTCCTGTCACCAGTTAACTCATTGTGGCATGTTGTAATGAGGGAGCAGGTTGAAACAAATCCAACAGCTAGACAGCTCAAAAATGTGATCCATTTTGAAAACTACAAGCTGACTTCACCAGAGCAGGCAATGCCAGGGACAAACTGGGAGCTGGGGGAAGGATTGGCTCAGACCAGGGGCTGCATTGTCTTGAACATAGAAAGGCTGCGCCTGCACTGGGCAGGACAAACAGTTGATTGAGAGCGGCCCACTCTTGGATGCACTCTCCCTTGCATGCTGGAGTGTGCCCATTATGCAGACTGTGCCTCTATTGTGGCTCCCTCTCACATTTCAGAAGTCTTTCTTTGTGAGTGGTGCAGAGTCAGTGGTGTGACACGCTGTCTGCATTGTACTATGTACACCCAACAATTCTAACAATTCCTTAAGGTGCTGGGCATTCTACAACGCAGAAGTGGACAATCTCCAAAGCATCCTCTTCAGGTTAGGAATTCTTATCGGTCTGCTTTGTTTTTGCTTGCATTATGTTAGCTGAAAAAGATTGTAAATTTGAAAGGAAACAGAATTGGAAAACAGCAAACAAGTGAGAGAACTCTTAGTCAACAACGAACTTTTAGGGACATGAGAGCAGTGTCGGAAGGATTAATGTGTCTGTTATTATCTGGTTAACTGGGAAAGAAATTCATGCAAAAAAAAATTAATGTGGAAAGATCAGAATGAATTAATGATTTCTGTTCAGTGTTAACTAAGTGGAAAAAATCAAAGTTCAGTGACTGAACAAAGAAAGAACTTTACCATTGTCTATTTGTTCAACATTGCAAAATGGCAAACTTGTGTGCAGAATTTCCATTTCAAAATTTCTTAGAAAATGGCTATTTCTATTCTGTGGTTTGATTTGTATTCCCAAAATGTGGAAGGAATTACTCAGCCTTTTTGACCTTTGATGTTTCTCAGTAAATATCTCATCCAACACAGGAGGTGGCCATTCAGCCTTCATTGCTGTGCCTTGGGATGAGAGTTTCTGTCTCTGTTCTCTGCACTTCTCTCCACAACTGTTCTCTTCTTATGCTCCTCTTTCAATTCTCTCATTTCATTTCATGCTCCTGTAAGTATAATTTGCAGTTTTACACATCCGAGACTTTTTTTTAACTTTAAGGGAAGTTGTGTGTTCTATATAATGTAAATTTGAATAATTCTGCTTCCCTTAGCAACGCTGGATTCTCGCAATCAGAAAATTTGGCTTCAGTTTTATTCTCTTTTCAATGCAGTTTTATGCCTCATGGTCATTTGTATCAAAGTGTATTTCCTCCTGGCTGTTAAAAGACGTTCCAAGTTTGAACCAGATATATGCTATCTTGTGATTATTTGAGATTGCCAGTGACAAAAGGAGTACTTGCATTGATACAGCGCCTTGCAAGATCAAAGGACATCTCAATGTTGATTATAATGATTGATTTTTTTTTCCTTTGTATATAATCACCGCTGCAATGTAGGGTATGTGACCGCCAATTTACACAAGGCAAGATCACATGAATATAGTATTGATCAGAAAGGATATTGGTTGAGGGATAATTGTTGGCCAAGTTACTACGGTGTGATCTTCAAAAATAATGCCAAGCGGTCTTTCAGGTTAATGAAAGCAAATTAGTTCGACTTGACTGAATGTTGAAATGACAGACTAATGAAATCAAATACCTATGCAGGTTAAACCACAGTCCTACTGCATGAGAGAAGGGAGTGCCACCAATTCAGCCACAGTCGACATATCCATGAAATTAGCTGTCCTGCTGGGACTAAACCAATATCCCTATAACAACAGCCTGGGCCTAATAGATTACCAGTCTAGTAACATTATCACTACTCCATCATCTGCCTGGAGATAATGTGCTAATCGGTAGGTTTGACAGGTAATTGAAAGACTTGTGTTTTTAAAATGACTTACAAAACCTCAGGACTTTCATGGCTCCCCTGCTGATGAAAAAAATTTCTCTTCTCGTCCACATGATCTACTCTTTTAATCATCTGTAACAACTTAATTTTGGAGTTGAAGTCTCATTTGCCTTCAGGTCTCTACCTGACTGCATCAGGTGAAGCAATAGTTGACCACACTGTTTTACAAGGTGTGACTCAATGGATTACTGTTGAAGTGCCCATCCAGGTACTAGCAGTCTACCAAAGCCAAATACCCGACCTACCTATGCAATATGGGATGAGAGATACCTTCTTGGGCTTAAGCAAGTGAGTGGGGGCAATCTTCGCTCCATCATTTTCACAATTAGAGTGGGGTTCTTCAAATACCAAACATTGCCATACCATTGTTTTCATAGATAAACAAACATAAGAGGATGAGAATGCATGGGTACCAAAGCAATATAAATGACGAGCCTTAAAAATATAAAAATAACAAGCTTTATTGGGGAGAATTTTCGGAAACAAGATATTTTTGAAACAACCAATTGGAAAAGCTTCAAATTAGTAAACAACCTCTTTCTGTAATTCATGAAGACTTCGTTAACAGTAAGCAGAACCTGAAGGACTTTGATATCTTTCAGTGGGTAAAAGGCAATGTAAAAACTAAATATTTCAATTTAGGAAGGCAAACTTTGGAGGAATGAGGCAGAAATTGACACTAATTGGAATGCAGGGCATATTCATGAATAAAACTGTAGACATACAGTTGAAGCTGCTCAAATAAATACTGGCTGCATACAAAACCTTTGCAAAAGCTTACTGGGCAAAGCAACATTTATGTAATTAAAAGTTTTAGGATAAATGTGAAACTAAAAGAAATCCTTTTTTTTTACAAATTGCATCAACTGTATTTCATAAACTAAGAATAACACAGTGTGGAGCTGGAGGAACACAGCAGGTCAGGCAGCATCAGAGGAGTCGTAAAGTTGAAGTTTCGGGTCAGGACCCTTCTTCAGAAATGGCCTGAGTGAGTTATAACCCCACTGCGAAGCACCCGTTTCTGAAGAAGAGTCCCGACCTGAAATGTCAACTTTCCTGCTCCTCTGATGCTGCCTGGCTTGCTGTGTTCCTCCAGTTCCACACTGTGTTATCTCTAACTCCAGCATCGGCAGTTCTTACTATCCCTTTCAAAAACTATGATTGTTTTTCATTGAATTTAAAAGATTAAGGGATAATTTGATCAAATTTTTCAGTATTTTAAGGGGAAGAGATAGGTGTGACATAGAGAAACAATCTTCACTGACTGGGAATTCAAGGATCTAAAATTTAGACCAATAAGCAAAATTAGAAAACATTCCTTCATACAAAGGGTGGTAGAGACTTTTTACTTCTTTTTTATCATCCTGATGTCTTCAACAATACTGAGTGAAAGGATGCAAGGAGTTGAGTAGTAGATTAGCGATGATTTCACTGATTGGTGGGACAGGTTTAAGGAACTGCTCCTGATCTTATGTTCTTAATAAAACATTCTTGAATTTTCTGCATTAGCAATCCACTTATCTGACATCCTGCGTTGGATGACAAAAAATTTCCCCAATTATATGTTGGGAAGACAGAAACCATCATTCTTGTCCCCACTCCCAACTTGACTCCCACACTACTGACTCTGATTTTCCACCTGGCATCAGTCTGAGATGAATGCATTGTGTTTGCAACCTTGATGGCACATTTGACCCAGAGAAGAGCTTCCAATCTCATGTTTGTGGCATCACTGAAACCACCTCTTTCCACCTTCAACCCTCCTCGGCACATCTGCTGCTGAGACCCTCATTCCTGCCTTTGTCACAGCTTGAATTGATCATTCCAATCTACTCCTGACTGGTGTTCCAAACTCTACCCTTAATACACATGAAGTCATCCAAAGCTGCCCTTTTATCTAGTCCTTTCTCCCATCACCCTCTGTTTGCTGACCCACATTTCACCTGAAGGCCAGCATTGTTTAGGTTTCAAAATTGAGGGTCAGTTTGCCACAGTGGATTGGATGGCTGGTTTACAATATAAATTGAACTTAATTTCTGCACTGGTTAATTGGTGAACTGGACATGCTAAATTGCCCCATAGTATCCAGGGATGTGCAGGCTAGGTGGGCCAGGCATGGGAAATGTGGGGGCACGGTAAGGGGCTGGGGTGGTCTTCAGAGGTTCGGTATGGACTTGATGAGCTTAATGGCCTCTTTCTTCATTGCACGGGTTCTATATTTCCTTGTAATGAAAGAGCAGCCCCAACATCTGGTAAGATTCCAGCAACTTTATGTTAGAATTTAAAGTTCTCATTATTCTTTTGAAATCCCTCTATGATCTTTCATATTCTTATTTCTGTAATCTCCTCCAATCATACAAGGCTCCGAGGTATCTACAATCCTCTAATTCTGGCTGTTTGTGCATCTCCTAAGTTTAATTGCAGCATCATTTTTAGCTGAGCTTTCAGTTGACCAGGCTCTGAGCTCTAGAATATATCTCCCTACCTTCGACCTTGCTGCCCTCCTTTAGGACAAGATTTAAAATCTACATCTTTGACGAAACCTTTTGTTCATCTGACCCTAACTTCTTATTTGACTCAGTGGCATGTTTCAGTTTTGTAATATTCCTCTGAAAAAACCTGAAAGATTTTATTGCATCAATTTGTTGGTGGTGATGTTCTGTACTCAAGAGATATCAAGCTTGAACTATCTAAACCTGCTTTTGCCATTTAATGCTCTCACCTCCATAGCATTCTGGAGAAGTGCCAATGGGATGAAGTCATGTTATGTATTAGGGTTAAGGTTAGGTTTATTGTTAGGAACACATAGTTAAATAGTGAGCTGCTGACTGGTTGATAAATAATACATGTTTTGATTATTTACTTCTATGTCGCAGAGATCTAGAACATTCTTTGAATCTGAAGGTTCAAAGGCTCAGAGTGACTAAGTAGTACCTTCATGGCTTCAGGCCATCACAAAACTGTTCCACAGCTGGGGAAGTACATTGAAGTGTAGCTGTTGTTGTATCGTAAGGAAATTTCTCCTTTCTTGAGAAAGGAGGTCCTGGCACTGGAGGGGGTGCAGAGAAGATTCACCACGTTGATTCTGCAGTTGAGAGTGTTGCCTTATGAGGAGAGATTGAGTAGACCAGGACTATACTGGCTGGAATTTAGAAGAATGAGGTGGGGTCTTACAGAAACCTATAAAATTATGAAGGGAATAGATAAGATAGAAGCAGGGAGGTTGTTTCCACTGGCAGGTTAAACTAGAACTAGGGGGCATAGCCTCAAAATAAGGGGGAGCAGATTTAGGACTAAGTTGAGGAGGAACTTCTTCACCCAAAGGGTTGTGAATCTGTAGAATTCCCTGCCCAGTGAAGCAGTTGAGGCTTCCTCACGAATGTTTTTAAAGCTAAGATAGATCATTTTTTGAACAGTAAAGGAATTAAAGGCTATGGTGAGAGGGTGGGAGAATGGAGCTGAGGCCACAAAAACATTAGCCATGATCTTATTGAATGGAAGAGTGGGCTCAAAGGACCTAATGTCCTACTCCTGCTTCTGGTTCTTGTGTCCTTATGTTGATCCATACCCTGTAAACGAGTAATCTTAGTTCAAACACTATAATGGATCGCTTGATCCAGGATCCCTGAACCTGACCATTATTTAGTTACGTTATGTCAATGGGTAAGGCTGCAACCAGACTAGGCTGTGATGCCCCCACAGTCAAATTGCCTGAGTGGTTGCCAAGGTTAGCCACTCAGATTCAGACACGACACAGTCAACGCTGCCCAAATAGCAGTATAACGTGGAGGAGAGGGGAGGGCTTCAGCTGGAGAATTTCTGATGGTAGGAAAGCACAAAACTGTCTTTGTTTCACAGAAAAATATGTATTTGTAAAGTTTCCTTTTTAGCAAAATGTTTATTATTTCAGTCCTGCAGTTCTGTGACTGCAGGCCTTGCGAAAGGAGATCGTGGAGAGCAGTGAGGGTACAATGAAAGTTCAGTTCTGGTTCTGACAGATGTGGGAGTTCACGCAACATCATTGTTAAGCCAGTTGTAAATTATCTCTTTGTTCACTGTGATCCCTTGTCTATTGTGCAGGTCTCAATGAGTCTGATTGTCCCCGTCTGGTGTGTGTACATGTCCCATCGAGGGTGAGATCTGCACCATGAACACATCACACTGGACCCTGGCACTTATAGTTATATGTCTCATTCAGGGTGAGTATCCAATTCCACTGATAATTGCTTAAAGATCACAAGGTGCTATTGCACAGGAACAGGCTATTCGACTCTTTAACAGTGCCACTTAATCTCACTGCCCTCTTTTTCGCACTCTCCCATTTTCTCAGAGCTGAGCCGTGGACGGCACGCCGGTTAGTTCTGATGCCTCACAGGGACCTGAGTTCAATTCCACCTTCTGTGCCTGTGTGAAGTTTGTACATTCTGTGTGGGTTTCCTCTGGGTACTATGGTTTCCTCCTACAGTCCGAAGATGTGCAGGGTAGGGTGGATTGGCCATGTTATATTGTCCCATTGTATCCAGGGGTGTGCGGACTAGCTGGAGTAGCCATGGGAAATGCAGGGTTGCAGGGATAGGTTTTGGGGGGATGGCTCTGAGTGGGATACTGTTCAGAGGGTCAGTTTGGACTCGATGGGCCAAACAGCCTGCTCCACACTGTAGGGATTCTATGAAACAAGTCTTTTCCTGTCGAATGTGCTCTCAGTTCTTTTCTGAAATTTATAATTGAATATATAAACAACGCACCCCTGATCAGACCAATTATCACATGAAAAGCCTGTTACCTAATCACCCTCACTTTTGACAGCTACCTTTAATCTGTGTCCTTTATTTGCTGCCCTTTCTGCTTATGGGCTCTTTACTATGATCTGCAGTGTGCTGCCTGAAAGAGAGAGTGTTGGCGAAAGCTGATTCAGGCTTACAAGAGGGAGTTTGATATAGGATAGAGAATTAAATTGTCGCCAGGCAATGGGGATAGGGCAGGGGTGTGGCTCATTTGGTAGCTCAATCAAGGAGCTTGCACAATCATGATGAACCAACCATAGTGCTGTAAGACTCCATGATTCTACTCCGATAGGCTACAAAAACCCCTCTTGATGCTGAAGGCTCCTATTAAATCTCCCAAACGTCTTTGATCTAAGAAGAAAAATCCCAGGTTCCATGTTCTCTTCACAGGCACGTTTCCCTCTGCTGCCATTCAATTTCTGGCCCTTCCGTTCCTGAGGTACAACCTCATGTGTTGATGGATGCTTACACCTAATTGGCAAATGTTATGCATGTTAGCTCAAGTTGGGTTCATCCAAGAGAGGAGTCAAAAACCGGAAGGCAGAGATTTAAGGCAATTGGCAAAAACAAAAGGCAACATGAGCTTTTTTCCCTACAACAAGTGATTAGACTCTGGGTTGCTTCCTTCTCAGGTACAGCCAGGATCAACTGACGGATTCGAAATGAAATTGTATCATTATCTAAGAAGGGGAGGAAAAAAGATATTTCCAGGGTGATGTGAAAAGGGGAGTGACATGAGCTGAACTGCTCCTTCACAGGCACAGGCACCCCTTCTGTGCTGAAACCATTCTTAATTCTATGAAAACTCTCAAGAGCCTTAGAAGGGCCTGGCAGTGAATCTGTGGTATATCCTGGAATATCTGAGATTGTATTGGTGACACGTTACATGAGGAACAGACTGGATACAGGTCAAACTTCAAAGGCTTGGCTCACCAATAAATAATAGGCTTTGTCAAAGGGCTGCTCTCCCTAACACACTATTATAAACAAACAAGAAAGCATGGAGAAAATAAATGTTAATTAATTTGTAGCCATCAGTTATTTAATAGTTAATTACACTCTAAGGATTGCAGTCACTCACAATGGGAGGTCACCACCACCTTCTAAAGGCCAATTAGGGATGGGCAATAAAATTAGCTCTAGCCTGCAATGCTCACATCCTGCATAATAATTCAGTATTTCACTGTATTTTGGGTTGGACATTAACAGGGGATTCATTTGTCCTGCTTATATAGCAGCAAAGTGAAAGGGTAGTGGTGGATTTGGAGATAGAGTCTTGGAGTCATACAGCACAGAAACAGGCCCTTCGGTCCAACTCGTCCTGGCCGACCAGGTATCCCAAGCTCAACTAGTTCCATTTGCCTGTGTTTAGTCCATATCCCACTTCTGTGTGTGTGATGCGTATCTGAGTAAATAAAAGCTAAGCGTATCCATAAAATTTGGCCTGCAATTCTATTGGCTATTGTCTGCTTTCTGGAAAAGAACAAAGATGGCAAACAGGCTGAGGTGCCAGAAAGGCAATGGACTTAAACTAAGATAGAGTCTGCTTCTTCTGGAGGGGCATCGTAGAAAATTATTCAATACTGTATGGACTTTGAAGATCTTTAAAATAATTGAAGGTGGAAGGAAGATCCTTGGCTTTATTAATAGGGCATACATTACAAGAGCAGGGAGGTGATGCGCATGACAACTGAAGGGCAAATATGTAGGGAGATCTCAGATGTACATACAAACAATAGGGTTGTAATAATAGGGGATTTTAATTTTCTAAGTATTGACTGGGACTATCACAGTGTAAAGGGTTTGGATAGTGAGGAATTTGTTAAATGCGTTCCAGATAATTTTCTTTATTAACATGTAAATGTTCCAATTAGAGAAGGAGCAAAACTCAAACTTGTCTTGGGAAATAAGACAGGGCAAGTGACTGAAGTGTTAGTAGGGGAACACTTTGGGACCAGTGATCATAATTCTGTTAGTTTTAAAATATCTCTGGAAAAGGATAAGCCTTCCTTAAAAGTTAAAGTTCTTAATTGGAGTAAGGCAAATTTTGATAGTATGAGACAGGTATTTTCAAAAGTTGATTGGAGTAGACAGTTCGCAAGTAAAGAGACAACTGACAAGTGGGAGGTTTTCAAAAGTGAGATAACGAGAGTTCAGAGACATTATGTTCCTGTTAGAGTGAATGATAAGGCTGGCAGGAGTAGGGAACATGGGTGAATAAAGATGTTGAGGTTCTGGTCAAAAATAAGAAAGAGTCATACACGAGGTACAGACATCAAATGAATCTCTTGAAGAATTTATAGGATGTAGGGGCATTCTTAAGAAGCAAATCAGGAGGACAAAAAGGGAATATGAAATAGCCTGGGTTAAGGATAATCCAACGAGATTCTACAAGTACAGTAAGAGCAAAAGAACAACGAGGGAGAGAATAGGGCCCCTTAAAGATTGACGATGTCATTTATGTGCTGAACCTCAGGAAATGGGAGACATACTAAATGAATATTTTGCACAAGTTTTTACTGTGGAGAAAGAAGTGTAGGCTAGAGAACTTGGGGAAATAAATATTGATGTTTTGAGGACAGTTCACATCATAGAAGGTGAAGTACTGCAGGTCTTAGAAAATATACAGGTGGATAAATTTCCAGGACCTGATCAAATATATCACAGGACGTTGTGGGAAGTTAGGGCAGAAACTGGGGGCCCCTTGCAGAGATATTTATATCATCTATAGCCATGGGTGAGGTGCCAAAGGACTGGAAGGTAGCTAATGTTGTTCCTTTATTTAAGAAAGGAAGGAAAATCTTGGGAACTATGGATCTGTGAGTCCGGCATCGGTAGTGGGTAAGTTATTGGAAGTGATTCTGAAAGATAGGATTTACATGCATCTGGAGAGGCAAGAACTAATTAAGGATGGTGAATATGGCCTTGTGTGAGGGAAATCGCTTCTCACAAATTTGATTGAGTTTTTCGAAGCAGTAACCAAAAAGATTGATGAGGGCAGAGCAGTAGATATTGTTTACATGGACTTCAGTAAAGTCTTTGACAAGGTTCTGCATGGCGGACTAGTTAGTAAAGTTAGATAATATGGGATTCAGGGAGAGTTTGCCAAATGGATACAAAATTAGCCTGATGATAGGAGACAGAGGGTGGTGGTGGAGGGTTGTTTTTCAGACTGGAGGCCTGTGATCAACAGTGTTCAACCGGGTAGAAGCAAAATACTTCAGATGCTGAAATCTGTACTGAGAACGAAAAGTGCTGGAGATGCCAACGGGTCAGACAGCATCCCGAGAGAGAGCAAGTTAACGTTTCAAGTCCAGATGACTCTTCATCAGAACTGATGTGAAGTGTGGAGGGCCCCTCACACATTTCATGTTAATTCTGAATGAAGAGTCATCTAGACTCAAAATGTCAGCTTGCTGTCTCTCTTTGGATGCTGTCTGACCCGCTGGGATCTCCAGCACTTTTTGTTCTCAGTGCTCTGCAGGGATCGGGACTGGGTCCACTTTTGTTTGTCACTTATATGAACGATTTGGATGAGAATTTAGGAGACATGGTTATTAAGTTCACAGATGACACCAAAACTGATAGTATAGTAGACAGTGAAATCTATCTAAGTTTACAAGATCTTTTTCAATTGGGTCAATGGACTGAAGAATGGCCGATAGAATTTAATTTGGATAAATGCTAGGTATTTCATTTTGGTGAAACAAACAAGGGCAGGCCTTATACATTTAATGGTGGGGCCTTGGGTAGTGTTTCAGGTACATAATTCTTTGAAATTTGCATTACATATAGATAGAGTGTTTAAGAAGGTCTTTATCACATTTGCCCTTCATAGCTCAGGCCTTTGAGTATAGGAGTCAGGGTATCATATTGAGATTGTACAGAATGTTGACGAGGCCCTTCTGGAGTATTGTGTCAAGTTCTGGTCGCCCTGTTATAGGGAGAGTATTATTAAGCTGGGGAGGGTTCAGAAAAGATTTACCAGGATGTTGCTAGGAATGGAGAGTTTTGAGTTATAAGGAAAGGCTGGATAAGATAGGACTTTTTTCACTGGAGTGTAGGGAATTGAGGGGTGATCTTATAGAGGTTCATAAAATCATGAGGGGCTTAAATAAGGTGAATAGCAAGGGTTCTTTTCCCTAGGGAGGGAGAGTTCAAAACTAGGTGGCATATTTTAAAGGTGAGAGGTGAAAGATTTAAAAAGGACACGTGGGGGGAAATTTTTACACGGAGAGTGGTTTGTGCGTGAAATGAACTACCAGAGGAAGCAGTCAATATGGGTACAGTTACAACATTTAAAAAACATTTGGATAAGTACATGAAGAGGAAAGGTTTGGAGGCCAAATGCAGACAAGTGAGATTATTTTGGTTTGGGGTTGGTGTGGACTGATTGGAATGAAGAGTCTGTTTCCATGCCGTACGACTCTCTGACATTTGTTAGATCTCAACTGGAGTTTTGAGTACTGTTGTGGGCATAACATTATAGGAAAGATGTGAATGTATTGGAGAGGACACGTTGGTTCCAGGAATGAGAAACTTCAGTGATAGGGATACATTGAAGAATCAGAGATGTTCTTTGAGAGCAGCAAAAGCCTGAGAAGAGATGTGATCGAGGTTTACAAAATCTGCTTTGAGTAGGCAGAAGCCTGTTGCTCCCAGCGGTAAAAGGTAAAGAGGTGAAAAGACACAGATATAAAGTATTATGCAAACTAAGTGAGAGTGATGTGAGAGAAAAAAACTCTTTCACTCAGCTATTAGTTAGGGTCTGGAAAGCGCAGCCCGGAAATGTAATGGAGACAGATTCAACTGAGGCGTTGAAGAGGATAGTTGATGATGATTTGAATGGAGATAGTGTGCAGGCCTTTGGTGAAAAGGCAGATTGGCAATAGGAAATAAAATGGGCTGAATGGCCTCTTTTTCCTGTATTTATTCTGTGATTCAGTGACTCTAACCTGCATCCTTTAGGGAATGTTATTCCTAGATTCCTATTGTATGAAAGCCAACTGATAAACAAGTTGTGATCTTTCTGTTTCCTCCCCTCAGGGTCTGTCTGCCAGTGGTCTGTCTGGGTCGATGATACCGTTCAGGCTTGGGAAGGGGAGTCTGTGATATTGAACTGTTCCTTTCAGTATCCTGATCCGATCCGAGACCCTTCCACTGTAATCGCCAGGTGGCTGAAGAACTCTCCCTTCCCCAATAACCATCAGGCTGCTGAAATATACAATAGCAGGAACCTGGAAATCGTCTCTCCTGACGTTCAGCTGATCGGAGATCTGAACGAGAGGAACTGCTCGCTCCAGATCGAAAACATCCACAAAGCGGACACCGGGATTTACTACTTCCGATTTGAACTGGGCCAGGGCAACAACTGGTCGGGAGAAAATGGGATCAATGTCCAAGTATACGGTAACCGGGAATTAGTGCGTCAATTTAGTTCGGGCATTAACGGCATTTATGTAGTACCCTGCACACATCCAAACAAAACAACCTCAGCATGCCCCAAAAAGATTCATGACTATTTTTAAAAGTGTGGAACAAAAACACTGAAAATTGCTGAAAATTTCTGTTTTCTGATTTACAGCATCCGCAGTTCTTTCGGTTTAAAGGTGCGGTCATAATTATAATGTAGGAACTGTGGCAGCTAATTAGAAAGCAGCAAAGTGACTGACCAGATAAGTTGTTTTGAGTAATGCTGTCTGTGTGACATTTATTGACCAGGGCACTGACTAGAATTTTCCTGCTATTCTGGGATATGTAGTCTTCTGGGATACTTGATGTTCACTCAGGTAGGCAGTCTGAGTCTTTTAACATTGCATTTGAAAGGTCTTCGACAGTGTCAGCGTGTCCTCAGGGTCACTGGGTTTGCAGCTGTATTTTCTGCTCTGTGTCCAGAATGGGAACTGAGCCCACCGTCTGGATTAGAATCACCCATGCTGTCACCGAACCATGACAGATGTTCTTAATGTAGGAACATCAAAGGGATGGAATCCAAGTGTCAGCCACTCCCAAAGACTTTCCATGCAACCATTAATTTTCTAATATGACTGCAGTCAAAGTGTATATGGTTAGAAGCAGCCAGAATTATCTACTGAATTATCTTTCTAAAGAAGGGTCTAGGCCTGAAACGTCAGCTTTCCTGCTCCTCTGATGCTGCTTGGCCTGCTGTGTTCATCCAGCTCTACACCTTGTTATCTCAGAATTATCTACTGGTTCTCATTTTCCATCCCACCAACATCCACATCCAATGGATCATTAGCCGCCATTTCTGTCACCTCCAGTGGGATACCACAGCCAGGCACATCATTGTGAGGAAGGGTCGCCAGACCCGAAACGTCAACTCTGATTTCTCTTCACAGATGCTACCAGACCTGCTGAGCTTTTCCAGCAGCTTCTGTTTTTGTTTCTGACTGATAGCATCCGCAGTCCTTTCGGTTTTTTGTTACATGTTCCCCTCCCCTCCCTTGTCAGCCTTCCAGGGACTGTTCCCTCCTTCACTCCCAACACCTCCCCACACCCCTATGCCACCTACCCGTGCAATTGCAGAAGGTGTAATACGTGCCTGTTTATTCCCTCCCCAGTATCCAAGGGCCCAGACACACCTTCCAGGTGAAGCAATGCTTTACTTGCACCTTCACACAATCTAGTCTACAATATTCACTGCTCACAAAGCGGTTTCCTCTACACTGGGGAGATAAAATACAAACTGACAGCTTTGCGGAACGTTTCTGATCTATCAGAATGACCCCCGGCTTCCACTTGCCTGGCACTTCAAAACTTCACCGCATTGGAATGCCAACATTTCTGCCTCAGGCCTGCCTCCATGCTCCAGTGAGGTTCAACACAAGCTTGAGGAACAACATCTCATCTTCCTCCCAGGTACCTTACAGTCTTCTGGACTCAACATCGAATTTAACAATTTCAGAACATGAGCGTCCTTTTCCTTGTTCATTACCTACCCCCACATCCTCAGGTCCTGTTGTGTATGGGTTTCTCCCAGCAAAGGCAACCCATTTTCAACCAATCATACTTCTCGTAAGGATCTTTCTTTGACAATATTGCCCTCTTAGCTTATGATCAGCAATCACTTTGATGGCCTCTCCTTTACTCTTTCTCTGTGCACTCGTCTCCATGTGTTCTATTCGGACTTTCTCCAACCCCAACCTGAATAAGTACTACTATTTCCCAGCTTCTTTCAATTCTATTGGAGGGTCACTGAACTTGAAATGATAACTTTGTTTTTCTCTCTACAGATACTGCCAGAATTGCTGGGTTTCTCCAACAGTTACTGCTTTTGTTTCAGAATTGGCTGGAAATCACTGACAATGTCCTATTTTCCTGGGTCAGTTTGTAGAAACTGCTCGGGATTTTAGCTGTTGGTTGGTATAAGAACCATTTAAGGGGACGCATGACATATGCCAAGTCCTCACGTAGAGCCATGGGGACAATTAAAGAGATGGTAAAATGATATTGTAAGAAATATCACGGCACCTTTTAGAAACCCTCAAGATAAAACATTTGGGCTGCATGGTGGCACGGTAGTTAGTACTGCTGTCTCACAGGGACGCTGGTTCAATTCCAGCCTTGGGTGACTGTCTGTGTGGAGTTTGCATGTTCTCCCTGTGTCTGAATTTCTGCTGAGTGCTTTGGTTTCCCTCCACAATCCAAAGATGGGCAGGTTAGGTGGATTGGCCATGCTAAATTGCCCACAGTGTCCAGGGATGTACAGACTAAGTGGATTGGCCATGGGAAATGCAGGCTTACAGGGATAGGGTAGGGGGGGTGGCAAGTCCAGGTGGGACGCTCCTCAGAATGTCAGTGCAGACACGATGGGCTGAATGGCCTCTCTCTGCGCTGTTGGGATTCTACATTTCATTTCAGTTTTCTGGAGGGGGAGTGGAGAGAAGGGAGACCCAAGATATGCTCTGAATTCACAGCAGGCAACAATACAGACAGACCTCCTGTTTGGTTATGTTAACCAGCTGTTGAAGGAGGAGAGGTGCTATGTGAAGATATTGGTCCTCCTTACCATCCCATCTCACCATCTGTCTCCATCAGCATCTCACTATGCATGCTTGGAGATTGTGACAGGCTTGACTCAACAGTTGATTGACACTCTTATTGGCTGCATGGGGTCTATGGGTGTCCTAATGGCAAGGGCCACAGTTCTACACCTGGCCCTCTGTTGACCCGTGCCCTGTGAAGCTAGCCCCCCATCGCAATTATATCAGCTATGTCCAACAATATCAAAAGACGTGCTTGGTTACATCTTAGGTAGACACTGCCAGTCAGGCTGAAGTCAGTTGTTGGTCCCCTTGGCTGGCCAGCATTCATTGTTTTCACTGTGATCCTCCTAACACCTCCAGTAAGGCAACCATCCAACATTCAGACTGCCCTGGTAACTGTATAAAGTAATGGCCACTATTAGTCACATCCCCTTCTGAAAAAAACAAGCTTTCCCTTGAATGGAAGTGTGTCTTTTGTATACATAGCTAAGTTGGATAGCAAATTTATGTACAATTAACTAAGCAGAATTGTCCAGTGGAATAGAACATTAGAAAATAGCTTTCAGAACATCATTGCTGCCAGACTGATACTCCAAATGTTCTTTGTCTGTAGTAAACAACATGCCTCTGGTGGCCATTAGACAGTAGTAGTGGAACACTTCCAGCAGATCAGAAATCCAACGCGATCTGCTTGATTTACTTCAGTATACTGGATAATATTGATCAGACCACTTTAGAGTATAAGTCTGATGTATTTGATGCACGCCGTAATCTATTGTGTCAGCACACCAAAGCTTCACTTGTCCAGTCCACCAGACAACGTACAGCCTCTTAAAGTGTGCCCAATAATTAGAGTGACCATTTGTGGTATTGGTGTGCTGAGCACCTAAACTATCCATTTGAAATCCATCATTTTAATTCTCATTTCTAACTTTCTATCTCAGTTAGTGCCAAACATTCATGTAATTTACTCTTGAGATGGAACCACAGAATTTTACAGCATAGAGGAGGCCACTCAGCTCATTATGTTTGTGCCTGCTCTTTTGGAAAGCATTTCCATTTGTCCCACTCTGTTATGCATTCATAACTTCAATTCCTGCTCCTTGATGGATTTATCCAGTTCCCTTGTGATACAATCTGCATCCTTATCAGGCAATGAATTCCAAAACCTAACCAGTCTTTGCATAATGAGATTCCTTCTCATGGGACGTCTGGGTGTGAGTGATTTTTTTTTGCCATCAGTGATGGCTTGCTAGACCATCTCAGGCAACATTCACAATTAACCAGGAATGCTGAGATGGAGCATAGATTAGAGACAAACACTTAAACACCATCTGATACCAACCAACTGCATTAGCATATCTAATGTATAGGCCTCTGTTGTACATTTATTACCTGTTCAGGACTGAGAATGATCTCACATAATTCTTCAATATTTCTCTGGATTAAAATTTTTGTGAAGTATTTATTGTTCTATAAGTTTGTTTCACTTTCCTACTATCCAGGTCGCCCTTCAAAGCCGGATATACGTGTCCCATCAGAAATAATTGAAGGAGACGAAATGGTTTCTGTGACCTGTTCCACCACAAACATTGACCAAAGAGGGAGAGCTACTCTGAGCTGGGATGGTATCTCTGATCTAACGGATTGGGTGCCCAGAACCGAAGAACAATGGGCTGGATACTCCTGGTCACTGACCAGTAATTTTGCATTCATCCCATCCTACCAGCACCACAACAGGGTCATCAAATGTATGGTCAATTACATACCATTTCCATACTCAGATGAAGCTGACTTAACATTACAAATAAGATGTAAGTTCAAGAGATTTTCAATTATAAACAATATGGGGCATGTTAATGGCTTGGGTTCCAAGATCTTCTGTAAATACTAATAATGATTTGGTTATATACACCAACAAGGAACAAGAGTAGGCCATTCAGACTTCAAGCCTGCTCCATCATTCAATAAGATCATGGCTGATCTAATTTTAATCTCAACCCTACATTCTCACACATCACTGAAAATCTTTCACCCCCTTGGTAATCAAAACTATACAGGAGAAATATTATGGAAGAGATTGGTCATAACAGATCAATGCAGAGCAAACAGTCAATGCTTGTTTTTGATCTCTGGAACAAATATCCCTGATTAATCATGTTGAACACTGATTTTGAGTAAGTCAAAAATATAAATCAAATAAATATTCAGTGGATATTTTTAAGGCAGAGGTAGATAGATTCGTGTTAGGCAAGGGAATCAAATGTTATTGGGGAATAAATGGGAATGTGGAATTCAAAACACAAAAAGATTCACCCTAATCTTTGGCAGAAAGTCCTCAATGTGTCTACTCCTGCTCCTATTCTTGTTTGTATGTTTTGTGGTTAAAACTACAAGTGTTAGCTGCAAGGATGGATGGATGGAAAGGGAGAGGGGGCTTTGGAAAGGAGGTGGGCAGATATTAAAGGAGAGATTAAGTCAGGAAGGAGAAAATAGTAAGGAAGAAACTAAGAAAGAAAGCATATATATATATAATGGTATTCGAGACCCAGCAAAATAGGAAGAGAACATTTCTCAGCTACAAATATGAAAAAGATATTATTAGATTCAATAGGGAAAAAGGAAGGACTGGTTTCACCCTGACAATTGTTAGAACGTGAAACTCAATACTACTAGAAAAGCTTAAGGCCAATTGTTTCGATACCTTTGGAAAGAAATTAGATGAGTACCCAGGAAGGAAAGGGAGTCGGTAGATATGCTGAATTGTTGATAGAATGGAGTGAGATTCATATGGAATGTGAACAACAGCAGAGTGGTTGCGCCAAACAACCTCTTATCATATATACATATAAAAAATCAGAAATCACACAACACCAGGTTCTCGTCCAACAGGTTTATTTGAAATCATCTGATGAAGGAGCTACGTTACAAAAACTTGTGATTCCAAATAAGCCTGTTGGGCTATAATCTGGTGTCGTGTAACTTCTGACTTTATTCACCCCAGTCCAACACTGGCACCTCCACATCATATAAACATGTAGTGCTATCTTTGGTCATTAATGTAGGTATATAGTGATGTTCTTATATGAATGGAAAGTGTCAGAAGCATCTAAATTCAACTTTACATGAAGACAAAGCCTATCTGACTTTGTACTTGTTATGATCTTTTCCTACATGGCTGCTTCTGGCATTTTGTGGTATTTGCTACTTCTATCAGTATGTGGTTGTGGGTAACGGTTGTTTGCAGTAGGTTATGGCCCTCAATCTTCCATTATCTTTGCTCTACCGTGGGCCTATCTAGTGATCAGTGGTACTGGGTACACCTCCTGTTGAATATCTCCGGCAGAAGCACTGTTCTTAGGTTACAAGAGCGTTTGTTGCACAATAATAGTAAGTATAATCACATTTAGTCATGCCCACTTGCCCAATCCTTCACGCAAGCCAACCTTCTGTCCATTGACTCCATCTGTATTTCTTGTTACCTTGGAAAGGTAGCCAACATCATCAAAGATCCCTTCTACCCCAGTTATAATGTCTTTCAACTTCTTCCTTCAGGCAGATGATACAAAGGCTTAAACACACGTAGCAACAGGTTCAAGTACAGATTTTTCCTCACTGTTATTAGATTCCTGAATGGGCCTCTCAATTTTCAAGTCTAATGTTGATCTTGCTTTTGTACACCTCCTGTGTAGCCGTAACTTTGCGTGCCTCGCTCTGTGAATCACCCCACGATCTTACTATGTTATGATCTGCACGCAAAACAAAACTTTTCACTGTACTTAGGTAAATGCGTCAATAATAAATCAAATCAAATTAAATCACTGGAACGTTAGGGAGCTGGTACAGATACTATCCCAGAACTAGAGTACAATTCCTTGTCTCCACCAACAAGTGCGTGACATCAGCAAAATGGGTGGAGCCAGTGTGACAGGGATGTCAACCCCTTCCAAACCATTACCTTTTACAGTATCTATGACAGTCATTATGGTGATTTTGACACCTCGTTGCTATAACGCAGTGTTCCAGATGCTTTAAATGTTGCTGATCAGTGGTTGTTTATTTTTTGGTACATTTAGACCCTCCAAAAAACACAGTCCTCCTCGTGAATGCATCACAGGAAGAAATAAAAGAAGGTGACTGTGTGACACTTGTATGTGTCGGCAACAGCTTCCCTGAAGCTAACTATACCTGGTACAAGAAAGACCAATTCACAAACAGAACTGAGGTTCTAAGTACTGTGAGCAGCAATATATTATTCCAAAAAATATCAAGGAAGAACTCTGGATTCTACAACTGCATGGCCACAAATTATTTGGGAAGCAGTTTGTCTTCAGAAATTGAAATTGATGTGCAATGTGAGTATTTGGATTTTCAAAGTTTTCCTGTGTTTAAAGGAGGTATTTCAAGGGAATGGTAGAGATAATGGTTATGGTACTGGGTCGCTATCTCAGCATATACAAGTTGAATTCAATCAATCATATAATGTTCAGCAAAATGATGATGAAACATGTTGAATTGTTGTTAAACATCCAAATTGCTAACTCACATCCTTTCTGTGCTCTGGAATGTATATAAATCTCCCACTCTTCTGAAGCTGCCCTTCAGAATTGTTTTTGTATTGAGAGCTGCCCAGGAGCCCTTGTCGGTAAAACTCTGTGAGCTGGCAACAACAGATCTACCAAAGGTGAGATCACCAGAATGAGCAAATAATGGAAGCTCATCTTATGACAGAGTGTAGCATTATGCAGACCAAGGGTCTAGTCAAATGTAGAATGCACTCTGTTTACTGATAGCCAGAGCTTGGAAGAACAACTTTGTTTGAGATAGGAGCATCTGACTTTCACTTCCCCCACAAACCTACAATTCATCCCACAGAGAATCAATTCTATTATCTAGGGAAATGGTAATGTCAATGGACCACTAATAATGAGACTGAGGCTAATATTCAGCACTTATGTATTCATTTCTCCTCATCACAGATGGTGGAATTGATATTCAATTGATAAATCTAGAATTGAATGCTAGTCTCAGTGAACATAGAAACATAGAAATCTGAAGCAGAAACAGGCCAATCAGCCCTTTTAACATGCACTGCTATTCAATGTGATCATGGCTGCCCATTATCCCAAGGCCTTATTCCTTCCTACTCCCAACAAACCTTTAACACCAAACCAAATCTATCTTTTCCTTTCGTATATTCAGTGACTTGGTCTCCACAGACTTGTGAGAGAATGAATTCGACAAGTTCATCAGCTTTTGAGTGTTGAAATCTTTCCTCATCTCAGTTTTGAATGGCTTACTCTGTATCCTGAGACTGAGCCTTCTGGTTTTAGACTCCCGGTTCGGGAAAACATTCTCGTTGTACCTGGTCTATTCAACGCCGTTGGACTTTTAAATGTTTCAATCATACCTTCTTTCATCCTTCTAAACTTGAATGAATACAGATCCAGTTGAACTAATCTCTCCTCATAGGATGGTCCTGCCAGCTTTAGTATCAGTTTAGTGAACCTCCACTGCACTCCCTCTATGTCAAGTAATTTTTCTTAGGCTGAGAGACCAAAACTGCAATACTCCAGATGTGGTTTCACTAAGGCCCTGTATAAATTCAGTGAGACGTCCCTACTTCTGAACTCAAAACCTCTTGCATAGATAACCATATACCATTTGCAGTGATAGCAACCTGTCATCAATTCCTGTAAAAACTTATCTGGTTCCCTAATAGCTTTTAAGGGAGGAAATTTGCAATTCTTACCTGGTTGCAATTCTTACCTGTGGCTCAGACTGTCCATGTGCAACAGTCTAACAAGCCACTAGAAATCAGAAACAATTCAGCATTGACAACAGGTACTGGTTTTTCTAGTGACACCCACATCTCAGGAAGGAAAGAAAAATAACCATACCGAATTAGTCTATTATACTAACATACCAGACCTCCCAATTTTCTTCAAACTGATAACCCAAATTTCTTCTCTGCATTACACCAAAGAGGTCCAATACACTCAGCAATAATATGTTTGCTATTATTTTGTTCCCACTTGTGTACGCAATCATAAATACGCCTAGAATTTCAACTCCACACTATGCCAAAAAAAAGGTTCATGAATAAATGAAATAGATATGGAGCTGACATTGAGAAGAACTTTCATTTTGCATTGCATGGATAAATTCTACTTCTTCGATACTATTTGTGATATACATTGCCCACCATTTGCTTATTCATATATTCTGCATAAAAGATCATTCTTCCTATGAGTAGTCTTCAGGACAATGAGTAACCCTGAAGAGTATTTGGGACTGTCCTCAACAACTTCCATTCAATGATGGTTTGAAATTGAAGTTACATACGGCACAACTGTCTTGAGTTCTTGGGTTCAAATCCCACTTGAACCATATGGGCTACCATTCGATTTGAGTACTGAGAGAACGTTACACTGTCAGGGATATCATCTTTGAGATATTACATCACAGCATGGACTGTCCCCTTGGATGGATGCACAAAAGTACTACCAATATTATTTTGAAGAATAACAGGAGAGGTGTCCAGGCCAGTACCGAGAGCATTAAAGCAACAGACTGGTTATTATCATGTTTGTGGGACTTTGCCTTGAGAAATTAGCTGTTGTGTTTCTAACATTATCAATTTGTTATAGTTGATGAGTACTTAATTAGCAACGAAGTGATTTGGGATGTCCTGAGGTTGCAAAAAGGACTGGTGGTTTATTTTTGAACAAAATGTGTGTTGATAAAAAAAAGTGTATTTTGTTAAAACATTTCATCTTGCACTCATCAGGACAATTAACAAGAAATACTAAAGTGAAGGGAAAACAAGATTTGTACTGTATGAGAAAGGAATGCTGATTGGTTGGCAAGTTGACTGGTTGTGGCATGATCATGGAGAATGAACCTGTCAATAATGATTGAAAACTAACTGCCAAGTTGTCAGGGAGCATGCACTAGTTACTGATGATTGACATTTAACTGCTGAGATTTTGTTTACATTTTAACCTAGGAAGGCTGATTGGTCAAGTCATTGCCTTGTGAAATGAAAGTGAGAATAACTGCCACCTATTTTGCTCAGTTGAAACAGGTGCAGTGTGTGTACACATTTTTTCTGTCACATTGAAATGACTAGAGATAAATTGGTTTCAAATTGTGTACAATTATTTAAAGGGACAGTTGTTTACCTGTTGTGAACATGGTAATTTTGTAACTGTTGCTTCATTAGGCCTTTAATTATATTGCATTGTTTTCATTGGAACGTTCAGTACTCATACTGAATTGGGTTTATGACCCTATACCTGGGTGTCAGGGATTTGCAAATGGAATGTACAGGGAGAGCTAGACATCTAGTTTGTCAAATCATTCACACTGTATGGTTTCCTCTTGCATTGTTGTTGCAACTTGTACTGTACAGCTGATCAATCCAAAAGCTACAGCACAATCATGTCAGACAAACAAATCCTGTTCTACACCAAATGCAATTCAGCAATGTGCAAGAATAATCCACGTCCACAAAGGTCAACATCAAGAAGGGAAAGGCCTGTGGATTTCCAGGAACACCGTGACTTTCAGCGTTCCTTTCAATAAATGCAGAATTTAGCTTGAACATATATGAACAAGGAGCATGAGTGGGCCACTTGGAATTCAAGTCTGCCCTGTCATTCAATAATGATCTGTTTATGTCACTTTCCCAAGAACTTTATCAAGACTCTAGCTACGTCTGCAATAAAAGGATTCAAATACTCTGCTCACATCACACTTTGAGGAAGACAGTTTCAAAAAAAAACTCTGTGAGAAAAAAGTTCTCCTCAACACTGTTTCAAATAGGCAACCTCTTATTTTTAAACAGTGACCCCTATTGCTAAATCCTCCTACAACAGGAAACATTTTATTCATACCTACCCTGGCAAGACCCATCAAGAGCTTGTATGTTTCAATTGAGTCACATCTTTGTCTTCTCATGTTGCTGCTTCTTTAGCATGGCTGGGTGAATATCCAGACTCCGTTGGTCTGAGAGCACTGCAACGTTCATTCACACACACTACAACCCAAAAGAAAGGTCACCTGCACCTTTTTGAGTGCAGTGAGGGACACTAGGGGCAGCACGGTAGCTCAGTAGTTAGCACTGCTGCCTCACAGCACCAGGGACCCCGGTTTGATTCCAGCCTCGGGTGACTGTCTGCGTGGAGTTTGCACAGTCTAAAGATGTGCAGGTTAGGTGGATTGACTATGGGAAATCTAGGGTGGGTGGGTGAGAGTTGGTGTGGACTCAATGGGCCGAATGGCTGTTTCCAAGCTGTAAGGGTTCTCTGACTCACTGTGTGGAATTTGTCCATTCTCCCCACATCTGCATGGGTTGCCTCCAGGTGCTCTGCTTTCTTCCCACAGTCTAAAGATATGCAGGTTAGATGAATTGGCTGTGCTAAATTACCCTTAGTGTCCAGGCATGTGCAGGCTAGATACATTACCCATGGTAAATGTGGGGTAACAGGAATTGGGTGGAATGCTCTTTGGAGGGTCCAAATGCCCTCTATCTACACTGCTGGGATTCTATGAACTTCCAGTTCAATGCTGACCTTGCCAGAGACACTCATAGCCCAAGAATGATTGACAAAAACTCTGCACATGGCAGAGGGTCCTGCACATACTTTGACAAGGTAATGGTCTCTGTAGCTCATAACTGGGTCATTTTTGGGGCATGGACAAGGAGCCAACATTGCTCGCTGAAAGTTCAGGAACCTTCCCTTCATGACTGATTACACCTGTTGGTATTCGCCTTCCACTTTTCTTTACCAGTTTGCTAGATAGGTGCTGACACATGCCCAACAGTAACAGCAAGTCCTCACCCCACTGGATGCATCTTACTCCGTGAAAAAAATGATTATACCCAAAGTGAAAGCAAAATCCTACAGATGCTAGAAACCTGCAACAAAAACAAAATGCTCGAAATATCACATTAAGATGAGAAGCATTCACCACTGCCCTCTGCTTTCTGTCTCTTAGACAATTCAAAGTCCATGCGTCCACAGTCCTTTAATCCCATTAAGGCTGATTTTACTAACACATCTAGGAGGTAACATTACATCAAATTCCTTAGAACTGTTCACATACACAGCCACAATTCCATTACCCACATAAATCCCCAAAGTTACATCACCAAATACCTCAATCACATTTGCTGACATGATTTTGTTTTTGATAAATCCTCACTGGTTGTGAGTTATAACTCATGTTCTTTTTTCTGCAAGCAACAATTAATTTTGTCTTGAATTATAAGGTGGAACTTATTCCTTCCAGCAGCCAGGAGAACTTAGACGGTGGGGGTGCGGGCGTGTTGTGATCGGGCTAGAGGCTG